AGCGGTTTCGATGTGCCATGCTTACTTTCCAAACGTCCGTCACATAGCACCTAGTTGAAAAGAGAAAGAATTATACTAATAGTCCACTAACACAGCAGCAATATTGCATGGTACAGAAAGAGTAGGCCTTAGATGTTTAATATTTTGATGCAGCAGCTATAAAAAACAATGATGAGAAGAAACCAGAATTCCCTCTGTCTCTGCCATATCTTCCCTCTGGCTCTGCCATAGCCTTCCCGCATTTCCTTGGACCTTAAGGTCTTCAAAACTTCCTCCAGCTCCATCTTTGGAAAAAAAAGATAATTTTCTCCACCTCATGAGAAGATGATAGTGAGAATAATTGACTTGTTAGGTTCTCATTAGTTACTCATATGTGGTGACAAAGGTTATATACATATGTAGGAAAGAAATTTGAAATCTTTTTTGATTTGTAGACCCCAAAACAATTTCCAGGTGGAAGTAGAGAATTTTAAGCTACTGGCACATATTGCTTTCCTTAGTTACCTTTTACAAATAAATTTGAAATCACTGTTGTTCATAGACTGTGAACACCTGCAACCTTTTAAGAGCCTTTGTGAGAAACAATAAGCATGTATTTGTTAAGAAAATATATTTTTAAATTAGACAATGATCATAGTTTAGCATACCAATAAATTCTTTGATGTGTACATTTTTACAGAAGTCCCATTCAAAACAAATATGCATGGCAAGCAATGCTTTTTGATTCTCTACCAAGTAAAAAAATCACCCTTGTTTCCCCTAAAACTAAGTTTTTCACTGTCTTCATTGTCTCTTGTAAGCTATTATATACCTCTTCCAAATCAATTAAGATTTCATCTAGCCTCTTACATACAAATAATCTAAGCTTTATGAATGAAAGCATGTTTTGGCAAAAATATATGTGATGTCTCAAATAAAAAAAACAAACCCTATAAAACCCTCAAAAATCCCTTTAAAAATTTTTAACTGCATAGGATCTGTGCTCTTATGCATGCTACTCATTAGTAATTTTTCTTCCTTGGACAATTTCTCAGAGTATTTTATTTCTTTGTCTCCTGAAATGCCCATCAGCAGAAACCCGTAGAAAACAGCTGCTTGAAAGCTGCCATTTTAGATTTGGGACCTGAAGTGGTAAGGCATATTTGCTAAAGAAAACACTGAAGAGATTCTTGGCCTTAGCATTTCTATGTTCTCATCAGTAAGGATTAATTCAGTCCATCCATTTAAATTTCCTCTTGAGTTACGGCCCACAGAACCAAAGAAAATGGTTCTTGAATGGGACTTTGCTGCCATATCTGTTTTCAGCACCACAGCCTGGAAAACCTTGCATCAAACAGCTCCAGGGTGTCCCATTACCTCAAACTCCCCGGGGGCCAGCTGCACCCCGCTGTACAAGACTTCTGGAAAGACGTAGTTGGTGCCAAACGTGCCGCTGAGGGAGAACATCTCGAACTTGGTCTGAGCCATCTCCACCGGCTGACCGCATGTGTTCAGGTCTGTGCTCTTGCACTTGAGCAACGTGCATATCTGCAGGGAGGAGGATACAGAAAAGCAAAACACTGATAAGCTTTCAACAGTAAAGAGCTGTATTTGATAGCAAGAAAAGTTCTCATGATGCAGGAACGGACAAGTGTTTTGGGATGGTTCGGATGCAGGCTTATACAACCCACACTCACCCCTTCAAAACCAATTACCTGCCAATGGTATTTTATGAGAGAACCGTGAAGCCCATCAAATGCACCCAGGACATAAACTTCATCTTTGCTCTTGTTTGACATCTGGTAGACCAAATGACAGCAGAGGTCTCCTTGGCAAACTGTGAAATTTCCAGCTTTGTGCCTGAGTTCACTGAAAGTGAATATATCCCGCCGGACAGCTCCCGAAAAAGTGTCATTTTCTCCCGGAAAATTCTTGATGCTTGTGGCATATGAGCTCCAGTTGACAGCAGGAGGGTAGGTGGGGGAAAGACGGGGACATGCACTCAGGTTCGCTATCAGGAGATGTCCCTCCTCTGTCACGCTGTCGTAATGGTAGGCGGCAGGTCCCTCCGGCGTGAACAGCCCGCTGCCTGCCAAGGACACCCACAAGCCCTCTGTCAGCTGGCACCCCAGAGCACAGTTTGGCAGGGGGGCCAGCCACCCCCCATGCCACACCAGTGAACTTTTTCAGTGATGTTATTTTCAGTCAACATGTTATGGAGAATTTTGCAGGAATTTTGAAGCCCAGAACTGCTAAAATACCCATCACAGTGTAAAAACACGAACTAAACTTCACAGGTTTTGGGCTTTGCTGGATCTTGAATCTGAGCCCTAAATGGCAATTTGACACATGACCATCCCTTTTTTTTAAGAACTTAGGTTAATTTAAACATAAATCAAAGCTCTAAGAGTGGCTTATTTGCCGAAGAAGGAAACCATGGGGTTAATTACATTTCACAGAAGGAAACCCAGGGCTGTGGCGTAAACTCAGCTCAGTCTGTTTAGGACAAGCAAAAATGATCCTTTGTGGCTTTCACTTCTGCTATGGGGAAGAGTTACAGAAGCATCTACAGCAACACTTTCTCAGTTTTCAGAAAAAGAAATTGGCAGTAAATAACTATTCAGATCAAACCAACATATAAATATCTCTAATTCTTCATCAGCAACAAAAACCTGAAATATTTTAGTCAGTATACAACAGGAATCTTCCTTTTGGTTTTGGGTTATTAAGTTCTGTTTAAAGCATTTTTTCCTCCTTTTAACTTATGATATAATTTTAAATAAAAAAAATACTGCTTCTAAATGAGAGACTGAAAATTTAAGTGACGCTATGCTATTTTTGAAAGAAAATTTCAGTTTTCAAATACCAAAAATTTAATATCATGCACTTTCTAATTTTACCTCTCCCAGGAAATTTAACATTTCCTTGCCTGAAGGTGTTACTACATTTAACGCAACATCAAGAATATTTTTAGCCTGACTGAAAGACTATTTTCCTGAGACTTCATTATTTGTAAAACATTTTTGCCTGCTTCTGAATCTGGTACTCTGAAGACAGTTTCCTTTTTCCCAAATGCAACTCACCTGTCATTGCAAAGCTGGTGTTGTGAGTATTTGCTGAAAGCAAGTTGACACCCATGCCCATAGCCCAGGCAGAGTGGAACTCCACCGCAGTCAGAAACGGCAGGACGTTCATCCAAGCCGTCGGGAAGAGCACGGTGTCCACCTGCAACTCGCTCACCAGAACCACGGCAGGCTCACGAAAAAGGATGTCAAAGCAAGTGAAAATGCCAAACTTCCCAAAGGGGGTCTCAAAGGTAACAGCTTCTGGCTCTTTTGGGTAATCAAACTGAGTTTCTCTTCTAAATAGGTTGTACTGCAGGTAAAGAAAATATCACATTAGAAACTAAAAATAAAGCAAGATTATGAGCAGCTGCTTTTGCATCAGAGATAGGCTTTCAGGCACAGCTGGGGTTTCAGATACCTGAGCTGGCTGGCACATCCATCCAGCCAACCCTCTCCCCCTGTGAAACAAGGTGGATGATTGCCTCCTGGAAGCAATGCCCAGCCAATGTTAACTGCTAAACCCTGCCAAAACGTCACCTGCAAAAATGCTATCTGGCTTAGCTAAAACTGTGCCAAGGACCAGCTAATGTTTACTGAGTATGGAAAACTGTCACCGCTTCTTTCCCATTCAGTATCATAAATGTAGCCCTTAGGTGTTTGGTATCTGTCATGTGCTCTGCAGCTGCCATGCTCCTGGGAATAACGCCTGATTGATCAAGCCCTTGTTTGCTTTTCCTTCTGGCCATAAGATCCTTGTATTGGATCATCCTGGATTGGTTGTCACTGTACAATTATGTAAAATTATTGCATAAACCAGGTAAAATTGGTGCCAGAGAGATGAAATGTATACTGATAATCAATGACAGGATGATGGTGAAGTGCCCTCTTACCTTGTGATAACGAGCCACTAGTTTCCCCTCTGGGTCAAAGACGACATCAGTGTTGTACTGATAGCGACCATCACTGGGGCAGCTGGGATCACTGGAGTTGCATGGCTTCTTGTCCCCGATGTTTGCAACCACATAGATGGAGTTATTCCTGGCCATGCAGCTGAGTCGTTCCTGCACTGGAGCACGAGCAAATCTAATGTATTTTTGGTGAAAGAAAAAACAAAAAAAAAAATCAAAAAAGTTTAAGTTCAAATGTGAAAGAAATGCATTCAAAATTCCTGTTCCACTAACTGTATATCCCCAGGTGCAGTAAAGGTATAGATCAAATCATGGTTTCTGTTCATTTTCTTTTCTGTTCATAGCATAGTTTTAAATTGCTGGTCCCATTTAGCTTTAAAAGATGGTCTCCCTATGCTTTTCTTTCCTGTACCCCTAACAAGACTAAGTTGTTATTTTCTGTGAGGATATAATTTGCAGCTCACACACATACAAAGATATGAACTGCTTCAGAAAATAAGGGAGTAAAAAAAAATAGTATACCGATATAAACTTAAAATAAATTTTCAGATAGATCTAAGTCTCAATATCTAAAGACCATTTTACCCTTTTTTAAGACTCTTGACTCTGTTTAAGGCAAATGTCCATAAGCCTTTAGTAAAAAGTGGCCAGAACATTTAGAGAGCTGAGGGCTCCTGAAGTCTAGCTTCATAAAGCCTCAGAACAGAAAAATAAAAAGAGCTTAGCTTAGAAAAGAACTTAGTCCCCTTGGTGTCCCCTGCTAGCACACAAGCCGAGCAGCACTGTGTAACACAGCAGGCTGTGCGGGCAGCTGAATTTCTAAGAGGCACTTCTTTCAGATCTAGAGCTTTGTGCTATTTGATGGAGAAATCACTCAGTCACATGAGCTGAGGGCTGAGTCACCTTGTCTAATCGCTGCATCCAACATGATAATAAATTAGCTTATACTTACAGAAGATTTTCACAATTTTACGTGTTTTAAAAATAATTATTTTGCTCCAAATGTCCTTATTTTCCTCCTTTTGCAATTTTTAAAAGTGAGACTGCCTCAATGCTTTTTACCTTGCATATTCCCGTTACCATTTAATGAAGAGTTATTTTTTATGCATTTAATTTCTACAGAGCTAGGGATTTTTAATAGATAAAAAAACCCAGCAGTTCTTATGCATTAACTGAGAGCAGCTCACATCTCCATGAGGCACTAAGTTGAAACCACATAAATTACGGCAGAAGGAATCACCTTGTGGGGTCAGTGCAGGGAATCCAATTCACTGCCGGATCAGGGATATCCTCCAGGTAGGGGTAGATGTCTTCTCTCGTGAAACGCCAGCCATAAATGCCGTCTTCAGGAGTCACAATGATGTGGGCACCCTGACACAAGATCCATTAAGATTTCACTCATCAACAGAATACCAGCAGGGTCAGCAGGAGGAGAAAAAACTAATTAACAACACTCACGATACACCCAGTACCTGCTGGGCGGCTTCCTTGATGGCCCCTTCCAAGACATCCATGTTTTTGTTCATCAGGGCCAAAGCATCATCAGGAGAAACGGGCTGGTCAGTGGCATCTGGCAGGATAACTGCATGCTCATAGACAGCCGCAGTGAAGGTGTCGGAGGCAAAGGCCTGAAGGACTGCGACTGCAAACACCGCAGCGTGCAGGAGCGGCTGGGAAGGGAGCATGGCTGGTGCCTTGCAGCTCCTGAATTGGTCACGGAGAATATAAAATGGGTAGAAAGAGGAGGAGTTAAGACTAATAAGTTTTCTTTGGAAACAATACTCGACTAATCTGGGAAAGTACAGTACATTTCTGCCAACAATCAGGATATTTATTTGTGGTAAGAAGTCAAAGAAATGTTTCCAGTAATTTGATCTTGTTTCCAATTTGAAATGATATAAATAAAAGGTGAACAAAAGGCTAGGGCAGCATGTCAGAAGCAATGCTGATCTACGACGGGCTCTGTGGAAGGAGCACTTTCACACTCCATTTCTACATCTCTCTCCAGGCTTCCAAACCCATTTCAGGGTGAGCCCAGACTCCCCTGGTTAGGGCACACTACTCCATATAACTTTATTGTACATTGCTGCCATCGGTTGAAAATTCAGACAGTGCTGAAGGCCACCTGAGTGAGGGACAGCCTTCGTGCTTCAGAGTGTAGGTGATTCATCTACGCTTATGAGACACGTGGTCCTGTCATGCCTCTTGCCTTTGGCCAATGGCTTGTTATAGGTGTAGCAGGTGCCTGGAGAGTGTCATCCCTCCCAGGCTCATACTGCAATATAAACTAACCCTTGAACTGTCCTGATCTCTCTGCCTACAGATAACATACTTGTCTGTTTTGTGAGAAGGATTAAACAACACAGGATTTTTTCCACTATTTTTGTTACAAAAGGTATTTTTTGCACAGTAATCAATTTGAAATTACACAGTGCAGTTTTTTTTTCTCATAGAAAGTAATTTTTGCATAGTATTTTGGAAGCAGAATATTAGTACTATCATTTCAGGTAATTAATAAAAAACCTTTGTCAGAACCTGTGGTATGTTTGTGAGGGCAAAGGAACATAAATGGGATAATAATTTACCGCTTAGCAAGAAGCCAAGGACAATATTCTTCATCTGGACAATGTCTTCCTCTTCATTACATATTTTCACCCAAAATTCTTACTTTTGTCCTTCAGCACCAAGGCCTCCTCAGGAGAAGACCACGCTGTGCTCAGACGGCTGTGATGTAGCTGTCCAGGGCACAGGCCTCCAGAGCAGACAGCACCAAAAGCACAGCAAAGGCACCAGCTTTAGGAAGCCCCGTGACTGGAGCCTGGAAGCCACCCAAGAGGAGGACAGGGACAAGCAAAGGCAGGGGGCTTTAGAAGGGGAAGACTTGCAGAAAATCTGGGAATTCCCCAGAGCGGCAGAAAGCCAACACCAGGAGATGCAACCACCCTGCCCGGAAATTCTCACAACATCAAAGGCATCCCCCTCACCCCACTGGCAGAGAAGTCACGGAGAAGTCACCTCTGTGCTGCAGCTGAAGAAACGCAGCACCTGCCAGATCTGAAAACGATTCAGGCGTGGCATTGCTGCAGTAATGCAGCTCAAGCCAAGCCCCGGTCACAGCAGGAAAACAAGCCGGAGTTTGGGAAATCTCATCAAAGACCAGCATGGACGCATTCCCAGCTGAACTCGAGGGCGTGGGGTGCAGGGAGCGGTGCAGGAGGCAGGCGGCTGGCCCCAAGCTCAGGGCTGTGGCACAGGCACTGACTGTGCCACCCCGGCCCAGCACAGCACCAGCTCAGAGTTGCGGGGCCTTTGGGGGCTGCTCCACATCGCAGGGGGGCTGCCAGGCAGGCTATTTGTCTGAGCAAAGCCGTCAGCACACCGCTCTCTAAATAAGCTCTGGAGATCACTGGTCCCCAAAGGTCTCTGTCAGAAGAGCATGATGAATGGGAGCCACAATTTCTAAGTTTTGCCTGTTGCAACCTTTCTTACATCTACAGATCACTCCAGCAGAAATCCTGAAGCTAAAGCAGCACATGCAAAATAATGACCTGTATATGGTTGCCCAGGTTTCTTACCTTCTTTGGTTCTGACTCAGCTGTCAGGTAGCAAAATGCTGTTCTGCTGCACTTCCCTCGAAGAAGTTTTTATTGTTATTGGTGGTTACACAGAGCCTTGTCTTTATATAGACTGAGCTGGTGTGTGGATAATGAGTAGACTTGCATAGGATTACTCTCTGTATGCTTGACTCACTTCACGCAATAACACATTTCACAACAAGAAATGTTATGCAATTCTTGTAGCAAATGGAATTTAGTGCCATGATGGCTTGTAGCTGTCTTCTATAGGAAAATACTCAACATACAAATGTACCTAAACCAAACCACAATGGCCTTGAACCAAAGCCTGAACTCAAGATAATCACCAAATTCAGGATTGGGGTCATATACTACTTGCACACACTTCCCACAGCCAGAGGACTGGTGTCAACAGTGAACAAACCTGAAGGAGCCATCTCTCAGCTCTGAGTCTGGCCATGCCCTGCTGAATCCCTTCTGTGTTGCAACATGAGGTCCTCTTGCATGCCATTGCCTCCCTTAAATCCAGATCTATTCCCTGGGAGAGAGTTGCAGTATCACCCACCTGGTTCCTGTTGCACAAATACAGGGTCTGCACTGAGTTTGTACCTGGGAATGAGGATGATGCTGGATAATGCCTTGCTGGATTGAGATCAGTCTGTGGTCAGATGGTTACTGACTCCAACAGTGAAAAAGGCTTTAAGAGAGCATGGTTCTAGCAGCAGCAATGTTGAGCTTCCATGAGTCAGAGCACATCGTCTCAGGCTTTTGATAAGCATGTTATTATGTTAGACATGACACTATGCCATGCCACGTGTGCTTATCTATTTACATTTGAAAACAGAAAAAGCCATATGATGCACAGCAGTGATAACATCCTCCCAGCATCTCACCAGCTCCAAGACAGAAGGACATAGTTCTGAGGACCTTGTGAGCACCATGCTGAGACCAGGAGTGGTGCCAGTGTGGGGAAAAGGAAGGAGAAATTAGACTAATAGGGGTCTCTGAGACTCTTAAAGACACAGCCAGAGAACGTGCACATCGTTATACACTGATATGCTGAAGGAAGGTCATTAGGGTCCAGCAGCAGCAACCAAGCACAGGTCACTGAGGGAGAAGAGGCAGCAAAGATGTGAACAGTACCTTCTCACCAGGAGTAGCTGGTCTTAAGTAGAAATCTAAATCCCCTAATCCCTACAGCAAATTAATCTGCAAGGCAGAACTACTCAGCGTTATCATGAAGGAGCAAAGAACAAGGCTTATTTCACATATGTTGGTGTTATACAACCAGAAAGAAATAGAGACGATGGGAGGGAGGAGCTGCTAACAATACCAGGTCACTCAGTGACCTTTTTACTGAGTGCAAACAGTTCCAGCACTGAAAATCATCCAGGGCAGCCAGCGGGTGTTGACAAGCTGTTTTTCAGAACTGGCAAGCAGAATACTTTGAGGCTTCCGTTCCAAGTTTTGATTAAACATAAATTTCAAAAAAAAATGATGATTCGTGTTGACTTCTGACCAAGAAGCAGTGGCAGGTTTTGTTTCAGGGTTGGCTTTTTGATTGGAGTCCTTGCTGAGCCTCCATGATGCACTATTTTGTGCTGCCATGTGCCACAGGATGTGCATCAATGGCATAAAACCAAAGCAACACAAATAGGAAAAAAAAATGTATAAGGGGGCTAAAAGAGCAGACTTGCATTGGTCAGCAAAAGTAGCTGTAGATCAGAGACAAAGCATTATTGAGCTTTTTTGTATAGAGGTGACATAAATCACATCTTTCACTGTTTTCTTTACTGATCTCATAATAATCTGCAATTATAAAATATGCAATGATGTTTTAATAAGAATGTATCCTCTGGACCACAATACAGGTTTTCTGAGGGCTAGAAAAATAAAAATCTATAAAACAGAGAGAGAAACACAATGGCTGTTTTGCACTAATAAAAGACTAATAATCTTATGACAAAGAAACAGATACTTATCAATAAATGGTAGCAATAAAATAATATTGCTGCATTATTACTAAACAAAGCACATTGATAAGAAGTTTGTGCAACTGGAAATAAGAAACATAATTGTGATTGTTGTAGCAGAGGATGCTGTATCTAATTTGGACATAAGATTAATAGTATACAGCTTCAGTTATGGCGATATCATGGGAAGGCTGGTGGTTGTGGGTCTTATTTCAGATGATCCTTTTCATACCACCGTCCAAAAAGTGTCACAGTGACGACAGGTTTTGTTGGTCTGACCTTATTTATCAAGCGCCCATCATTCAATACCTGATTCAAAAAAGTAAGAGAAGGACATTATTAGAAGAGTGTCCATATGAACATGCTAAGACCTTAGAAAGATGTGACAAAACAGGAAGAAGGTAAGTCAGATCTTATCTCTTACTGAAACCAGTGACTTCATTAAGAGGTATTTAATAGATCTGATTATTCACTATAAGCAAGTTGCCTTTGGCTATTTTGAGACAGTTTATTCCATTCCTGTCCCCAGAGAACCTAGCATGACACAGCTCCCATTACCTCAAACTCCCCGGGGGCCAGCTGCACCCCGCTGTACAAGACTTCTGGAAAGACGTAGTTGGTGCCAAACGTGCCGCTGAGGGAGAACATCTCAAACTTGGTCTGAGCCATCTCCACCGGCTGCCCGCATGTGTTCAGGTCTGTGCTCTTGCACTTGAGCAGCGTGCATATCTGCAGGGAGGAGAAGAAAACAACATATTTATCAAGACAGAAACACTCTGGTAGGAAAGCCTTGTGTCATCAAAGCTAGTGAGTATTGGAGCAGGTGACCGTCACAGGATGTCTTTCATAATCTTTAATAAATCTTTTTTAGTTGTAGCTTATTTTTTCACCCCTTGATCTGATTGGGGATATTCCAGACCTGCATTGCCTTAGTAGTTAGAAGTAACCTGTTTCTGATGTAAATGCTATCAGAGCACCTTGTGTCATCACTGAAGTCCAGTCCTGTCACTTCCACTAATTCTTTCAATTGCCAGTTCTCTGGTTTGAAGGTCTCTTTCCCACATGTCTTAGTAAGATGAGTTTGTGAAGGGAAATTTTAGGCAAATTAAACAAAGACATCCTCATGGATATGTTATGCAACTGTACACACAGGTCCTCTTACTGGTATTTGTACATGTTGCTAATGACAATTCATCAGATGGCTTGCTAGTACATGGGAAATCTGAATTTGATGTTCTCCGTCGAAGTCCTAGTGAATATATGTCAAGGTGACGTAGTTAGGATCCTCTGTTACAGTTTTGTGTTAGCAGTTGCAGCATACAGAGGAAAGTAGGAATGGCAATGTTTTCCTTTTGTCTTTGGAGTTAATCGTCCAGCTGATAAATGTTTGTGAACCTCATGAAGAATTACGAAATAGGGCTAGCACTCCTGTGAAGATTCAAAGGATGTTGGCTGGTTTTGCTGACAGGCAATGAAGGCGTTTTTCTATTTGTGTCAGATATTGGGGGTAGAAGAAGCGTATTTGCAAACATCAGAAGTATTATTCATTAGCAAATATGCTGTGTTGAAATGCAAACAAGAAGAGAAAAAAATAACAAAATTATCTCAGTATGGTCTGAAGAAAAGAAAAAAATACTGTGGGAAAAAGGAAAAGTAGAAATTCCTGTCTTTAGAAAATTCAGTACTGGTAGAGAGCATCTGGCAGCTTCCACAATCACTGAAATAAATTTTACAAGCAAGCTCACCAAGAACTGGATTTATTCCAGCTAACTTCTTAAATGTATTAGATGAGCTGTTTGCTGGCTAAGACATTGCCTCCATATCCTGGAGTCTGTACCGGCTGATATGCAGAGGCCATGCTGACAGACAGAAGTAACTAACAAAAAAAGAATAATCTGCTGACACAATAACTTAATTATGAAGGCAAAGAAGTTTTTCTAATATGGCTTTAAGCAAATTCAGCCAGGATATAATTCACTGTCTTCCCAAAAATCTTAAAAGATGAGATTAAAAGAGAGGAAGAGTGGAAATTTCCACTGAAAGTCTCATGCCATTTCAGTAAACTTCAATGCTATGATTTGAGTAATGACAAAAAATTAACATCTCTGTGACTCTAATGAGCATCTCAGAAAGATAGACATGATCAACTGATTTTTTAACAGCAACTGTTTGATGAAGATTACAGAGGAGATTCAGAACACTTACTGCAGATAGTCACAAAAGAGGACCTAAATTTAGCCAATATTGCATGCCTAAAAAAATAGTGAGTGCACTCTGGGAACTTAAAAGAGATACAGAGACACCTCCACTGTATTTGTCAGATTTAACAACTTGGGCTTGGAAGTTTTAACAACTACTTTCCATTGCTAATAAATAGGACACCAGGACTCCAGCTGAAAGTTTCCTCCTGTAAAGAAGTTTTGTAAAATAAGTACCATTCCTCCCAGCCAAAGAATCATTACCTGAAGATAGTATTGTCCTTCAACAACATGAAGCCCATCAAAAGCACCCAGCACATAAACTTCATCTTCTTTTTTCCCTGCCATCTTGTAGCTCAAGTGACAGCAAAGATCTTTCTGGCAAACAGTGAGATTCCCCTCAGGCTCAGTGAGCTCAGTGAAAGTGAACGGGTCGTAGAAGATGAGTCCTCCAAATTCATGGTCATTCAGTGAGAAACTTTCAACACTCAAAGCATATGAGCTCCAGTTAACAGCAGGCAGGGAGGCAGGAGAAAGGCGAGGGTGTGAATCTAGTTTAGCAACAAGGAGGCGACCTTCCTCAGTTTTCATATTGTAGTAGTATGTTCTGGCTCCATCTGGTGCATAAATACCACTCCCTGAGGAGAGCACAATAGTCAGTCCAAAAAGAATAAAAAATTTCATGTTCTCCTTTTAATTGTCCCTACTGCTAGCTTATCCACTATTTTATAAATATTACTGAAATTTTAGTCTCACCAAAAGTGACCATTAACAATTCAGTACATAGAGCTCATGCTTTGGCAAACAGCATTTGTTTCCCTGGGTGAGGTCTGCTCAGTGTAGCCAAAGACGGAGGATGTTATGTTATGTTATGGTTGTGTTTATAGCCTCCCCAGCTCTCTCTCTGTTTCTGACACTTTTCCACAACTGTGTTAAATGCAGCTACAAATGAGTCTTTCATTTGGCCAGAATAAATGGAGCCATGTATGTGGTTTACAAGTATATTTACAGTTCGGCATTCAATCACAGACTCAGAGGTGGCGAGAAGAGCCTAAGTTTCAGAAGTTTCTACTAAGGTAGAAGGGCCAGTAATTTACTACCTGTTTAGAGGCATTAAAAGAAAGAAAGGAAAATCCTAAGAAGGCAGGGAGAAGAAAAGAAAACACCATAAGTTTTGCTGTGGTGGCACCAGTAGGGACAGGATTTGTCAGGTTTAAAATTTGGTGACTAGACTCTTCACCTTCTAGGTAAATACATTATATTCCTCTTCAAAATCACCTTGCGGAACAGGGAATAAATATTCATTGTTACAAAAATTTTTCAGACAGAGTGAGAATCAATTACCTGTCATAGACATGGTGGTGTAGTGTGTATTGGCAGCTAGGAAGTTGACACCCATGCCCATAGCCCAGGCAGAGTGGAACTCCACCGCAGTCAGAAACGGCAGGACGTTCATCCAAGCCGTCGGGAAGAGCACAGTGTCCACCTGCAACTCGCTCACCAGAACCACGGCAGGCTCATGGAAAAGGACATCGAAGCAAGTGAAAATGCCAAACTTCCCAAAGGGGGTCTCAAAGGTGACAGCTTCTGGCTCTTTTGGGTAATTAAACTGACTTTCTGACATAAAGAGATTATACTGTAAGGGAAGGAAAAAAGAGAAACTTGTAGAAGGTGCTTACTGCAATACCCTGGAGTTATTCTCTAAAACTCTTTGGAATGACTAGAGAAGTTTTTTGACCTGTGTTTGAAGATGAAAAGAGTCCTTTAATCTCCACGTGGCCTGGACAACAAATGTGCACCAAGCCAGAGGAGAGTTCAGTTCACTGACCTTGTAACTCATCAGCTGGGCTGTGCCAGGCTGGCACACGGGGAACCAGACTTGCATCAGCAGCATCCAGCTCACCCAGTTTGCTCACAAAGAAATATTTTGGCATTATCTCTGAAGAACCAGGTGAAATAGTGGGCCCAAAGTGCATTAAATAAGCAACTGACTTCAGTCGAGCCATATTGGCATATCTGGCACATGACCCCCAAACAAATTCAATGAACCTTGCAGGTAGGCACATAAAACTGAAAGGAGATACTTTAATTGAGTGCAATTGTTTCAATGTCCTCATCTATTTTTACACTCAGCTTAGGTCCATGGTCTTGTCCAGATAATTGCCGTTATACAAAAACTGTGCTGAAACATCATCAGAAAAAAAAACAATAGGAAAGGGCCTGTCTTCCTCAAATCAGACTACTCATCTAAGATGAGATGCAGGTGAACATTTTAAAATCCTGGAACGCAAAGGGGTAGTCTGGTGCAAACCTGGCACTGAAAACTAAAGCTGCTTAAGCAGCAGGATTTCCAGTAATAGCGAATTAACAAACTGAGGAAGTCAACCAAAACCATATGCCACTAAATTGGACCTGAGCAACCATTTTTCATTCTAGTCTGTTTTGAGACACATGGCAGCAAATGCAAATTCGGAATCAACACTTCACAGCAAGAGAGAGATCCTTTCAAATTATAAACAGAAGAAAAAATCTTTCATTGGACAATGACTGGTATTTAATTCTCCTGCCAAATTAAGACATTTTGGAAGTAGTGGAAAAACAGCTCTTGACTCTACCTTGTGATAACGAGCCACTAGTTTCCCCTCTGGGTCAAAGACGACATCAGTGTTGTACTGATAGCGACCATCACTGGGGCAGCTGGGATCACTGGAGTTGCATGGCTTCTTGTCCCCGATGTTTGCAACCACATAGATGGAGTTATTCCTGGCCATGCAGCTGAGTCGTTCCTGCACTGGAGCACGAGCAAATCTAAAGTATTTTAGGGAAAAGAAGAAAAAAAACAACACCTAACTAACAACAACTGTGCTGTCAGTGGTGTCCATCAATGGAGTTCTGAAGGCATGCCGGCAGCTCCTCTGATCCCACAGTCAAGGCAGGCCAGGCAGACATGCAGGGTTGCTGCAGCACTCCCTTGGGTTGCTTCCCACTCCATGGGGCAGATCCTGGAGCCCTCCCATCGGCACCTGGAGGGACATGCTGCCCCTGGGCTGCCTCCCAGCACCCCTTGGCACCCAGAATATGCTCTGCAGCAAGCAGATAAATCTAGGGCTGGGAAAAGGCAGGAGAGGAATGGTTGGGCAGAGGAAGAGAGTAACTTGGTGTCACACAGGAGAATATCTTAGCAACTGGTGTTGCAGTACCTAAGGACCGCAGCTCTGGGCCCTCGACACACAAAGCAGAGTCAAGCTATGGAATAGTGCAGCTGATGCGGTCAAGGCAATTCATCTCCTCCCATGGACAGGAGCACATACTCCTCTAGCCATGGCACGAACAGCAGTGGGATATTCATTTCAAGATGTGACAGGCCATGTGCCATAAACTGGCAGCACCTCTGAAGCACCCATACTGGGCCAGAAAGGGAGCAGACTCTGTAGGGTGGCAATGCATATGGCTTTCCAAGGTGTGCATGGGCCACACAGGAGGACCATTATGCAAGGTACATATACAGCACCAAGGAACAGGGCATGGCAGACTGTGATGGCAGGCATTATATTCCCACAAGTCACTAATGAAAACCATGATTTAGAACAGTGAAGAGACACACAGATCACCTTCACAAAAACTAACTATGCAAAGAACTGGAATAAAGACCTGCTTAGACACACTGACACCCAACACCCCACATTCACTGAAAGACTGTATATTTTAGCTACTTATGTCTCAGTGAAAAGTTGCACATCCTGCACTTCTCTCCATTATGAATCTTCCTCTCGGGACCATTCAGGAATTTCATCCTCACAGATGTAGTAACATGCTCTAAGCACCTCATCATCGAGCAGGTGCAGAAAGCCATGGTGAAAAAGGCAAACCACAGCCATAATTCCATGACAGAGCACTTATTGCATGCTGTATGGATCTGAAGTCCAGCACTCAACTGTAGATTAGCTTGTGCCTGCTCGAACATGATGCTTGAATGACAGATCATGTTCTAGAGCACAGAGACTCTAGCAATTTGAAGTTTATCTTATCTTAATTGTGAAAAACTAAGATTAGAAGTTTCTGGGTTTGTATCAGAGGTTTGGACTTTGACTACTGACCTCATCACCTCTGTTGTTAGCTGCTCAAAAACTAGTTCTTGGCTGTTCACAAAAATGGTATGCGTGCTTTTGTTTGAAAAAGGCATTAGTAAAAAAACCAAACAAACCAACAAAATAAATTTTTAAAAAGTGTTAAGAATTTGCCATCAGTTTTATTCAAAATAGTGTGGAAAAAGCTGAAAGCAAAATGAGAAGCAGCATATTCTGGCATCAAAGCTTTTCCAAGTGCAAAAAAAAAAAAAAAAAAAAGACATTTCCTCTACATTCAGTAGCCTAAATTCTGTATATTGTTTGAATTTCTCTTTAAAGTGTATAATTCAGAAAATATATTTTTTAACAGGGTTCCCTTGTCGATTACTCATGAACATGCTATATATTTTAGCATGCAACTTACCTTCATATGCAACTTTATTTGAAAGTTACCCTCATGTCAAAAGCATTTTCAGTTCTTAGGCATTAACTGAGAGCAGCTCACATCTCCATGAAGCACTAAGTTGAAACCACATAAATTACGGCAGAAGGAATCACCTTGTGGGGTCGGTGCAGGGAATCCAATTCACTGCCGGATCAGGGATATCCTCCAGGTAGGGGTAGATGTCTTCTCTCGTGAAACGCCAGCCATAAATGCCGTCTTCAGGAGTCACAATGATGTGGGCACCCTGACACAAGATCCATTAAGATTTCACTCATCAACAGAATACCAGCAGGGTCAGCAGGAGGAGAAAAAACTAATTAACAACACTCACGATACACCCAGTACCTGCTGGGCGGCTTCCTTGATGGCCCCTTCCAAGACATCCATGTTTTTGTTCATCAGGGTCAAAGCATCATCAGGAGAAACGGGCTTTTTAGTGGCATCTGGCAGGATGACTGCATGCTCATAGACAGCCGCAGTGAAGGTGTCGGAGGCAAGGGCCTGAAGGACTGCGACTGCAAACACCGCAGCGTGCAGGAGCGGCTGGGAAGGGAGCATGGCGGGTGTCTTGCAGCTCCTAGAATGCTCTGTCATGGACAAGCAGTGCAAAAGGAGCATGCGTAGAAAAGAAGAGAGGGACAAAGTTTCACTTTGAAGGAAGGAGGTCTGTTGCTGGTCTGTTAAAGAATTACCTTGGAATCAATTGTTGCTGTTGACATATGGGAAAGTATAAAGTATAACAGTACACAGTAAGGATGTCGCAACTTAAAGAGACTAGTAAACTGGGCAATGCCAAGACTAATTGTGCCAATGTAAAAATAAGTCATTAAACACACGGCTAAAAAGACCGGTCCAATTTTATACTTTTCTCAGTCATTGATTGCAATAGACTTTTCCTATCTGTGTTGGCTCAACTCTGATACCCATATTAAAGGTGGATGTGTCACCCCTGGAGCTAGTCTTCTGTGAAGTTTGAGTGTCAAAACTTAGGGTCTTAAAAACTGCTTTCTTCTAGTGTCTTCATATTCCTATTTGTCAGTATGTGCAGTTTGCTTCCCTGAGTTTCTTCAGACCAAAGTCATTACATTAGCATCTCACTGTACACTTAACATGCCAGCAACAGAACTGTCCCTTGCATTTATCCTAGTGGCTTTGCCAGTCACTTCTGTTTAGCTGTACATCACTTTCCAACAGGCTTCCACCAGAAAATATGCCTCTGGAGGGAATGTTTTCCTTTGAATTCAGTCAGATAAGTACCTCATTGCCTGGCTGCCACTAGCCTCAAGCAGAAGAGCAGGCTAGTTCACCAGGGGCAGTGGCATGCCAGCTCCTCTGCTTACCTGTCCTGTCTCCAGGAACTTGAAGTGTATTGAGAAGCCTTCACTTTTAATCTTCAGTTCAAATACAGTTTTTGCTATGACATTTTCCATTTTTTTACTTTCTAGTAGCTGCAGTATTCTCATTTGGAAAAGGTTTTCTGACTAGTGGGAAGCAGAACAGACTGTCTCTCTTCAGCTACCACAGACTGTCATTGTAGAGCTGTCTCAGAAAAGAGAGAAATGTGGGTGAATGCAAGCACCAGAGAGTTCCCTGCAAGAGTAGTGCTGACCAAGAGTTTCAGCCATTAGCAACATTGATTTGCATCTGGTAATGTTCACCTCTAAGTACTTCCCTACATATATTACTAGCTCATTCTGGAGCCTTAAATATGAGCCTTTAAAAAGCTGCAATAGACATTTCAATGATAATTCAAGTAATGTAGCTTGGAAGCCCTTCCCCCCCTATTTTTCTTACCAAATGCAATACGGATTGAGTCACACTAGCCACAATCAGATGTAAGTCTGAAGGAGGAAGCAGTAAATACTCCCTTGTTCAGCAACAGCCAGGACAACAGTCAGCCCAAAAAGGTGATTAACCTGGCAGGGCTGAGCAGAAAAAGTTACAAGTTCAAGTCATGTTGCCAGGATTTCTGTAGTAGGGTGGGGTGGAGGCATCCCTGCCTGCCTCTGTACCAGCAGGCACCAGCGCCTACTGCTTGCAGAGCTGGGACCTCACCCAGGAACAAGGAACTAACGCCACTTCAACCAACCAACTGAACCCCCGACGGCAATGTAAGAGGAAGCTTATCCTAGAGCTCCCTCTACTTTTCACACCTCCATCCTCCCAACCCACTCTCCCCATGACTGTACTGCATTCACCCCCCTCTCTTCTGCTCCCTGAGGATGGCAGTTACCGGAAGACTTACTTTTGTGAAACAGAAGGCAATTTGATGTTCAATTAGCTCAGCTGTAGAGGTAGTCTGTCTACAGATTGTGATCCTGCTCCTTTTCTTGTGCTAAGAGAGACTGCGTGGAAGACTGCTCCTTATTTGAAGGGTTAATCTGCTTGTGGGGAAGCCTGTGTGAACGTCACACCCACAACCGCGCAATCACTGCAAAGCAGTGAGGACAGGCCAGCAGGGGTGAGGAAATCGGGAGCCACTCCTTTTAGCAACTGCACTGAGGTATGTTGCTGAGATGTAATGGGACACCGTGTCCGAGGGTGCTGATATAAATGTAGAGATACAGTACTTTTTCTCCATGAACAAGTAGAACGTTTTCCATTATTTCTGTTATATGAATTGTAAAGTGTTAAAATTTAATACATTTACAGATTAAAATCTTGTTTTTACAATGTTCACTCCGGTCAAAAACAATGTATTTTGCATCCTGTAAGTCTATTTTTTATCCCATTGGTCTTATTAAATGTGAATGATGTTTTTATTTCAAAACAAACCTGCAGAACAAACAACAGAATTAACTGCACATAGAAATCTTAGCTCCACCACGCAAAGTAATCCAGTCCACTTGCTCAGAAAGTGCAGGCTGCAGTGCCTGCACCCGCACCCATGCCAGTTCAAGCTGTTCACTAGCCCTTCCCAACATCTGCATGTACAGTCCTGACTCTCCCCTGCACCAGCATAAGCAACCATTTCACGGGAAGACAGATAGGCACTTGCAAAATTGCTCATTTTGAGAACTTTTTATATGGACCCACCTGACTGCTTAAAAAAGTTGACACAGTTACCAACAGTTTTGTAGAAAGGAGACATTCTACACTCTAAAACTGTGGCCAGAAAGATTCAAGAATACTCCTCCAACTGTAAGTTAGGGCACGGCACGATAACACATTACATTGTGCGCTTAGCTGAATAATTGTTTTTGAAGCAACAGTGTTTTGAAACTTGTTTTCTTTTTCAAAGTAAATGATAAAAGTTCAACCATCGGAGTGTCTCTGTGTGTGTGTCTGTGTGTCTGTGTGTGTGTGTGTCTGTGTCTGTGTGTCTGTGTGTGTGTGTGTGCCTGTGTGTGTGTGTCTGTGTGTCTGTGTCTGTGTCTCTGTGTCTCTGTGTGTGTCTGTGTGTGTGTGTCTGTGTGTCTGTATGTCTGTGTGTGTGTGTCTGTGTCTGCGTGTCTGTGTGTGTCTGTGTGTGTGTCTGTGTGTCTGTGTCTGTGTGTCTGTGTGTGTGTGTGTGCCTGTGTGTGTGTGTCTGTGTCTCTGTGTCTCTGTGTGTGTGTGTGTGTGTCTGTGTGTCTGTGTGTGTCAGTGTGTCTGTGTGTGTGTGTCTGTGTGTGTCTGTGTGTGTGTCTGGTGTGTCTGTGTGTGTGTGTCTGTGTGTGTGTTCAGAAATAGAAAGTCATTATAATTATGAGAATTAACATTAATTAACATTCATTAAAACTAATGCATTACAGAAACAAGCAGATGAGATCTTATAGGATCTTCAGTGAAATCATGGTAAAGCTTGTTATGTGTGTGGAAGGTCCTTTTCATACCACCTCACAAAGAGTGTTACACTCAAAACTGGCTTTGATGTAGTAGTCTGACTTATAAGAGGTCCATCACTTAGCTCCTAATTATGGAAAAGTAAAATAAATAGGACTATCAGCAAAGCAACAGTATTTCATGACATACACAAAATAATACATTCATTAATGTTACCTAGTTGAGAGATGTGGTAGGCTCACTTGGAGCTACCATGAAGTCTGAGAAAAACTACACTTCTGTCTTGAGCAAGAACTTATTCTAGGGGGTTTGGGGGGACAGGGAAGAAGGGAAACAGCAAAATGGACCTGATGTATGAGTGCAACCAGGAAAATCAAGCAGAAATAAAGCTGCCTTGATCAACCCAGTTACTGAAACAGAGGACACGGATAACTACCAGGTTGCTCCTGTGTCTTGTAATGGCTTTTTGACTGTTACAAGTCTGACAACTCAGAAGGGTATTCAATTACCTCAAACTCCCCGGGGGCCAGCTGCACCCCACTGTACAAGACTTCTGGAAAGACGTAGTTGGTGCCAAACGTGCCACTGAGGGAGAACATCTCAAACTTGGTCTGAGCCATCTCCACTGGCTGCCCACATGTGTTCAGGTCTGTGCTCTTGCACTTGAGCAGCGTGCATATCTGCAGGGAGGAGGATACAGAAAAGTAAAACACGGATAAGCTTTCAATAGTCAAGAACTGTCATGATGTCAGATGTCAGATGAAGAAATGATCCAATACATCTACACATTTATTTAGGCCAAGAGGATCCCTGGTTGGCACTTGAAACTTTATAAGAAGACAGTTCTTTGCCAGCACCACAGCAAAGCACTGTGTCTGTGTGTACACATGTGTTTATAAGTTATGTGTGCATGCATGCATCATGCATATGCATTTAGTCATAAGTGTGGACTAGTTTGTGACTAGGGAAGTTACTTCAGCTCTGTCTGAGTTTCCTGAAAAACTGAGACCATACTTATTTGCCTACTCTAATGGGAATACTCTAAATATATAGAGAAAAGATATAAAGATAAAGCATGTTAAAAAAAGCCTAACAGTGAAATTTAAAAGAATCACTACACTGACAAGCCATGTGAATAGAGAGGCTACATCTGTGTTTAGTTTCTTAATTTTGTTAGATAACTGCATATTAGACAATCACATCAGCACAGTGGTAAAAACCACTGAGCAGTGAACAACTCTGTTGTGACGAGAGCATCCCTATGAAGACTGGGAGAACTCCACAATCTTCTCTCCCTTTTGTACACATATATGGAAACCTCCTTGAAGCATTACAGCACAGAGTCAACTCAGGGTCTTCATTTTGATAATTTATAACATAATCAGAAAAGCAGGATCAACACCCCTAATGAAGTCAAAATGCATCATGAAGAAAACAAATGTTTTCATAGAGTCCTAAAAAATGCCTCCTCTTAAACCCCCTCAATCAAAAACGAGCCAAGTGCAAGTGAGCTGCAAAGAGAGTACTGCAGCCTCCCCCTGTCCAAATAAGAACAGAAAAACTTTACCTGCAAATAATACTCTCCTTCAACAACATGTAACCCATCAAAGGCACCCAGAACATAAATGTCATCTTTCTGCTTCTCTGCCATCTTGTAACTCAGATGGCAACAGAGGTCCTGCTGGCAAACAGCACGATTTCCCTCGGGTACAGTGAGCTCCGTGAAGGAGATCATGGTAAATGACCCCACTGAAATTGTGGTTGTTTGATGGAAGCTGTTCAATCTTGCTGGCACACAATTTCCAGTTAACAGCAGCAGGATAGTCAGGAGAGAGACGTGGGTGTGACCTCAGTTCTGTCACCAAAAGGTGACCATTGTCCATTTCTGTATTCTGATAATATGCTCTCGGACCGTCTGGGGCATAAATACCACTCCCTGCAAACACATAGGAGCAGAAAGCTTTTAATTTGAAAGCAAGTGTATGGGACAAGTAAGTAGTCTTCACTAATTAAACATGTGACAAATTTTATTCTAGTGTTTACCAGTTTGTTTTGAAACTAAACAAAGCCTTCAGAGACTACAATACTACCCTAATGGTTTTTGCAATCAGTGGAAAGTAGACCAAACTCTGATGTATTGTAAATGACAAGATCAGTGTGCTAATTATATGCCACTATATATGATTTAATTGGCTGAAACCATACATTCTTCATTGAGTTTAGCTGCATTAGAAATCAGTATTTTTGATTAAAATAAATGGTAACACTGTCAAGTCAAAAAAAAACCCAACTCTGTAGCTTCAGAAGGTAGCAGGTTTGTGCTTCAAAGCTCAGTGTGCTGAAACTCCAGCTTCACCTCACGTTACCTAAGTGAGGAACACAGGGGTTTTGCTGCTGTGAAGGTGAACCTTTGCACCTTCAAGCCTCCCTTCTGCTGTCAGCGTGTGGCACAGTGTTAATGTTACACCGACACATGGGCTCATCTCAGTCGTTCTGCTTCAGTTCTTGACTTTGCTGCTGTGCTCAGGTAGCCTAGGATTTGTTTGTTCCATGGTGTGTTTTGTTATCTTTCACCAAATAGTGCAGCTTCAAAAAAATGGTGCAATTTATTAAGGAAAATAATAGAATAAAAAGGCTACCACATCATTATTCCATAATACAAATTTGAAATTGCACAGTATTTCCTTTCAGTAGTAGCTGTTATTTTATTCACAAGTATTCCTAATATTCCTGTATCTTAGTCATTCTCTATATCATGCATGGAATACAGTACTGAAAGCAGATTCTGTACATTTTTGTTTGTCTTTTAAATAAATCTCAAACTTTATAGCATACTAACTAAAATAAAAAGAATTACAACAAGAAAAAATGACAGAAAAACTATGAAGGAAGTGGTCTGAAGCTATTTATGGCAACTAGATGATGTCTAACCTGCCTTCATTTCACAACAATTGTTCCAAGACACTTAGAACTATCAACAACCACTCTTAGTCATTTTTTCCATTGGACCATTCCCCCGTGAACAGCAGGGATGATACCTTCCAGGATCAGCACACGGAATCCAGTCCACCTGTGGGTCTGGGATATCCTCGAGGTAAGGGTATATTGTATGACCCAGTCATAAAGGCAATCTTCAGGGTCACAATGATATGGGCACCCTGGTACCAACATACAAACCCAAAAATCACCATTAAGAAAAAATTTAAAAACTGTCCAGTGTTCACCAAAATTAATGTCTCCAACTGTGTCATAATACCTGTCTGGCTGCTTCTTTGACGGCTGCTTCCAAAGTTGCCATATTTTTGTCCATCAGCACCAAGGCCTCCTCAGCAGAAGCCGGCACTTCAGTGTCCTCTGACAAGACCACGCTGTGCTCAGACAGCTGTGATGTAGCTGTCCAGGGCACAGGCCTCCAGAGCAGACAGCACCAAAAGCACAGCAAAGGCACCAGCTTTAGGAAGCCCCGTGACTGGAGCCTGGAAGCCACCCAAGAGGAGGACAGGGACAAGCAAAGGCAGGGGGCTTTAGAAGGGGAAGACTTGCAGAAAATCTGGGAATTCCCCAGAGCGGCAGAAAGCCAACACCAGGAGATGCAACCACCCTGCCCGGAAATTCTCACAACATCAAAGGCAGGAGAATTGCCGGCATTGAGCAATTCTGCCTCACACCACTGGCAGAGAAATCACAGAGAAGTTACCTCTGTGCTGCAGCTGAAGAAACGCAGCACCTGCCAGATCTGAAAACGATTCAGACGTGGCATTGCTGCAGTAATGCAGCTCAAGCCAAGCCCCGGTCACAGCAGGAAAACAAGCTGGAGTTTGGGAAATCTCATCAAAGACCAGCATGGACGCATTCCCAGCTGAACTCGAGGGCGTGGGGTGCAGGGAGCGGTGCAGGAGGCAGGCGGCTGGCCCCAAGCTCAGTGCCACCCCAGCTCAGGGCTGCTCCAATCTAGCTGAGTGTAGCTTGGCTATACCTGGCACAGTCCCTACTTATCCCAGCTTCACAGATTGTACAACTGTGTTAGTAATGGCAGACAGGTATTTAGACCTGCCATCGCATGAGGCAAGCACACCACGAGCCAAGGGGCTGCTGAGTTTCCCACAGGAGATTGCACTGCTCTGCTTTAACCACGTGTCCAGGATGCCAGGATAATCATGGCAGGAGAATATGCTTGTGAGTTGAACAACAAACCTGGAAACCAGAATTCCTCTCCAGGTTACTTTCTCATACATTACCTATGTGAAAAAACAGAGAGGGGAGATGCGTTGCCAGAAGACTGGAGGGATTAGTTAAGCCTGCCTAGTTTCTACTGGATTTCTGGTGAAGTTCATGCACTGCAGGACAGCTCTTTAATTTCAATGATATTTGTGCTCCTTCTGGTAATCCCAGCCGCTTCCAAGTCCTACCAGCACACACCAGTTAAGTGAACAAGTCATTCCACAAAGAGAGCTAATTCTCATGTCTACAGGTCTGCATCTTGTGCACCTTGCATCTACCTCTAGTCTTCTCAGCTCCTTCACACCTGCCCCACCATCAGCACTGTAGGGTCAGCACTTCCTAACAGGTTGAGATGTACCTTCCTGGCTTCAGTAAAGTCTAACACCTGATACAAAAGGAAAGGGAGCTATTGCCAGGATGTTCCCTTTTC